CATAAATATTTTCCCATAATCGCGATCACAATATGGCGCTTGTACTGTACCGAACGAACGGCGGCAACGTTGGCTTGAATACCTGGTAAGACATCAGAAAGACAATATCACAACAATTACCATGAATTCGAGCACGACCCCTGAATTGCACAAAAAATAGGCATGGAAGTTAAGATCCGGTGGGTCCCGCTAGGGCTGACGTTGAAATTCATTCTGGGCCGTCTGAGTACCTGTACAAACTATGGAAAAAGGACTGGTCAAATTTGATGGTTGACATTAGGCGAAATTGACAGAGGTCTAAAGCAAAAATTGAGGGTCGCCACTGGAACGAACTGAATCGGTCATGGTGGCAGCCGTAGCGATATAGGCAACATCATTTGCATCATGATTTCGTTTTAGTAAACCAGTGCAGCGGCGTTACCAACTCATTATTTATTACTGTATTCACCATGAGAATCTGCAGCTGTATATCAGTCGTCCGAATACCAGTTTAAGGGAAAGGCTGGAAGTTACGGAGTTTGATTTTTATGTTGAAACAAACTTAAAATATGATAAAATGCAGTGCATGCCGTTTTGGCTTTACATCCTCAAATTTGAACATGATTATTGTGTGACTGGATAATATCATAGAGGCATAATTATTCATTTTCTGTGAAATAAAGTTAAATTTTTCATGTTTGCACGTGAACGTTAATTTTAGTCAGATTAAGATTAAAAAAATTACCATGTAAATAAAGCTACATGTCGTTTTGGCGTGACAGCTTCTTTTTGCCATACTTTAAGTTTCTTATTGCTGATGACAGAAATATTGGTTTGCTATCGTTCGTATTAATTCCCAAAGAAATTACCTCGAAAGTTGTTTACGTCGTGCCGTCCATAACTGAATGGAGAATTTTAAGTCATGGGCGAAGTAGGTGGAATCACTGGACGATGCTTGATGGACGACATCTTAGGTATGTCATGAATGATACCGTCATGACTTGGTAAAGTGACGTAGCGAAGTTGTCGAAACTTATACGTTTATGTCAGAATTCGAATGAAGTATGACATTTTTTATTGTCATTTTTACTGTTGAATTTTTCTTTGCTTCTAGAAGATTGTGGCATAAACATTTTTATCGGGGTTATTTGTTTGCTATCCTTTTAAAGCAGACGATTTGTTTAGAGAAAGAAGGAAGGCGCAGCTACGGAACTTCAGTGGTCCCACGGCAGAATCTGGATTGAAAGGTGATGGGATTTAATATTGCATGCCTACAGACAGGGCAGGGTGACAGGCAACGGTGTCCAAAATGCAGCCCGTGTTCTCGAGATCTAAGCGACTGAAGGCCAGGATTTCTCTGTTTGTTTCATCTACGTCATAACAAACATTTTATGATTTGTAAGCAGTAGCACATGAGGAGTAAAAGCTTCTGCAGGGTCGTTTGTGATGAGCATGAAGTCTCTCTGACTAAAAAAATGATGCAAGATGCCTCTAGCACGGCAAGTGTTCAAACTCTATGGCGAGGTAGCCTATTTAAATGCCTCCGTTAGACATTTAGGAGCAGTGGGGCAATGCATCTTAAAGTTTGGCTTTGGCGGATTTATTTACCTGTTAGTTTCATCTAGTGCTGTACATTTGAACTCCTATTTGCTGGTCTAGAGGGCCATCTTTCATATTCAAATAAACAACAGGAATTGATATTCTGTTGTACATCTGAATTGATACATTATTCATATTTTGATACATTTACTCACCTTCTTGAGCTCATTCAGCGCAGAAGAGCTTTGTAAATTGATCTAACCGAACTTGTGGTGGAATTCACTTTGTTTTTTAATTTGCCTGACTTCGGAACACGCATGGAAAAATAAATAGCTATTTAAAGAGCTAGAGCAGCTGAGTTTTGGAACAAGTGAGCGAACTAGTCCGCGTCATTTGTCATAACTGCTGAATATATAAGTAATAGGGTATAATCTTAAGCGGTTTTAGGTGTTTTTTTTCCATATCACTGTTGTTGTATGCAGCCAGGACCTCCACGTTGCAGCAGATAAATCTCAGTGATTTTGAAGTCTTCTGTGTGAAGAACCAGAAGCAATTTGTTTACAGTACGTTGCATGATTTCGTCCTAGATGCCAGAGTTTCTGAACTCACTGGACCTCTAGACAGTCCCTTCAGTCAGTGTTTTTGATGTTGCTTGAATTTTCGAATCGCGAGGTTTGCAGCGTAAGGTAATAAATATCGTAAAATTTCATCATCTTGCACTAATGCCTGCTCATCGCCATGAAACATCTTAAATCTGCAGGAAAGTTTATTGACCCCTTTTCTCCCAAAGGTTCTCAGCCTTCGTCCGGGTTTTTTGCTTTCACCGAGCGAGTAATATCTGCATTATCATCTTTGCTACTGGCATTCGCCGAACACCTTCAGATCGTTTTAGATGCGGTCTCTTGGTTATGAGGAATAGCGGCTGATGCTAATGATTTCCATTATCGTTAAGTGACGAAGTGTCGAAACGCGCGCGTGTAACTCTGAGATTTTGCTTTCCTCTGAAAGTCAATTTCTGCCGCTTATGCAAAGGTTCATACTTTTGTGATAGTTACTCTTCACCATCTGTA